TCTGAGATACCACTCCAGGTAAGAAAAAAAAAATCCAACAACAAAAAAAAAATCTGAGGAAAAGAGGGAACGCTTAGAAAAAGAACTTGCAAATGCATTCAGTTTCAATTTGACATGTGAGAATGCTGCGGGATCTGTGTTATTTCAGTCCCTTTTGAAAGCGTTTTGCTGAGGAGCGCTGGGGCACCATTGCTGAACATAAGCACTAGCTTTCAAAGCAATAAGAAAAACCTGGACATATTCAAAAAATATTGAATTGCAACATTGATGTTGCTGAGCCTGATATTACACATCATAAAGGAGATGGCTATTAAGGGTTGACATGGGATGTTTTAGACGTTCACAAGGTCTGTCCTGTCATCTGTGAGCTCATTACAGAGTGTTGTACAGGAAAGGACCAGGAGTCCAATCAGAAGGTGCAGGCGTGTGGGCATGCTCACAAAAACCACCTCAGTGCATACATTCTCTGTCTTTTCAGTACAGTTACTTGCAGATTTCACCCAGGCATAGTAATTCCCCTGCTGCTTCTCCTGTTTTGCAGTATTCTGGATTTCACACTGAGAGATCTGAGTCTGACCATGAGAGCCAGTGGGGCGGGAGCCCCCTGACCGATACAGCTTCTCCCCAGCTTCTGGAGCCCACAGACAGACCGAGCTCCCAGCACCACGATGTCTCCTGTGCCTACAGACAGTACTCGGACCGCAGTGCTCTCTGCTACGGTTTTGCGCTCGACCACGCCAGGCTGACCGATGACAGACACTTCCATACTCAGGCCTGTGAAGGAGGCAGATGCGAAGCTGGCCGGTATTTCCTCGGCACGCCACAGCCAGGAAGGGAGAGCTGGTGGGGTTCTCGTTCAGCATTGCCCCTGACTAAGTCATCCCCTGAGAGCAGAGAAGCATATGAAAACAGTATGCCCCACATAACATCAGTCCACAGGATTCATGGTAAGAGATAACCAGGATTGGCAGAAGTGGCACCTTCTTGGGTAGAGCAACGTGACATAAACATGCAGCTGTTTATGTGAGAGATAGGAAAATGAGACTCTTGACGTATGTCCTTGTCTCAGAGATCGCATCTATGGAGATGAGGAAGACTTAAAATTCAAGTTGAGTTTGACAGTCTGGCTTATATGCAGCAAAATATAATTTTGCTGTATATTTTTTAATCTGTAAAATTAAGGTGGAAATATCTGACTGGTGAGATTTTAAGGATGACCTTAAAAATATAAACAAAATGATACATTTGATAGAAATGTGTTATTTATTTGACTTAAGATCAAACTACTTTGGATGGAATATATTTACCAAAAAATTAAAGCTAAATCCAAGTTAGATATTAGGAAATCTTTACAGTTTTTGGAGAAATTGTTCTCCAAATGACTTTTTTTTCTGCACTAGGTTCTGTAAGATTTGCTGCTTATTTCTGTTTAAAATTGGCAATTCAAATTAACATTTGCCTTTGGTTTCAGATATTTATCCCCAGTTATAATTTTTAGCCAATTTGAGTCTATTCTTTCAGCACCAAGCCTGAAGTCTTGCTTGGTGTCTGGCAGGTTAGAGACTTAGTGTGTTAGCACAGCTTCAGAGGCAGAAGCTAATAAAAAAATCACAGTGAAAGGCTGATCTGGGTTTAGAAAAATCCAAAGGTCCTTGGATTTAAAAGGTAGGCTGAGAGTTGAAAGGCTGCAACTGACCCAAACATCAGAATTCAAGGTTGTAAGGATAGATGCAGCATAAAAAAAAAAAAATGCTTTTCTACTAAAATAATCTGCCAAAACACAGGTTGTATCTAAAGAACTCGTAAAAGCTGGTTACATTAGTACCATTCCAGCCACTTGCAGAATAAGGCTTTGGAAATAAAAAAAGAACCGTACTATTTTACTCTAATCTGAGGAAAATTATGTTGAGATTAGAAAAATGATTCTAGGAAATACATTCAGAGGAAAAATGGGGAAAGAAAAGGAGTCCTAAATTTTTCTGATGAGGACTGTTCTACACTTTTTCTGTGAGAACACACCTCCTTCCTTGTGCCTGCTCTGTACTTCTGTAATACTTGTATTTCTCTAGCTTTTTCTTCTCCAAAAAAGAGAATTGATCGAAGTATGATAATTTTGCTTACAAATTTTATGCATGATAATTCTTGTTGAGCATAGAAAGGTAGTAATGTAGAGCTATCATATGGAGGTACAAATACAAAAGTGTTAAATATTTAATCCATACCTTTATCAAGGATAATCGATGGAAACAGATAATGTAATTTTTTTTTAGTTTGTTCCTTGGTTTTGCTGTAATTCCAGGTGCTGCAGTTATCTTCCTTATTGTGCCAAGTCTTACATGTTTCAGTAGGCCTCCAGTCTGCATGTAGCTTTGGGGGTAAAACCTGACACGGTTTTAGCTGAGGAGCGGAGCGTCTCAGCTTCCCTTGCAAATGTGCCATTTTCATTGAGATTTAGGCAGTTTCAAACCTTGGCCTTTCACAAATGAAACTCTTCATGACAATACTATGTGAACATTCCTGTCAGAGCAGGTTCTTTGGGCAGAAAGTATTTTATGACTTTTCTGTTCTTTTAACGTATCTTCTGGTAGTTCTGGCTTGGGAGCCACGGTAATGACAATTAGCTGACCACTGTGACAGGCCCTGGGTATTGCACGGGAACTCATGCATTTCTGGTTACACTTGAGAAGTCTGGGACACTGCAGATATGGTCTGTGCAGTGAGACAAACTGAGCATGTGGCTTAGAGCCACAGCTGACCAGCTCCCCATTGTGTCATGGTGTGCCTGATGTATCATGTGCTCTGGTGGCTGGAGCTCCCTTCCACCTCCAGGCCCTGGCATTTTGGGTCCAGGTCGTAAGAGGATGTGAAGGATAAATTTGCGCTCATGACATACTCCACAGTGCAGTACTTCCACCTACAAATGGCAGGCTATGTTCGTTACAAAAGCCCATCACTGATTTTTGTCATGAACTCTGCAACACAGCAGCAGTAGTCTGCCACCCAAACAGATCTGTATGCCTTGACCTGACACAGAGCAGGGGGAACTACTTGTGCTAGTCTGAAAATGGGTTCCTTGAGGAGTCCTGTCAACCAACCCAACAGGCCTCATCCCCAAAGGGGACTTTGTATGTGCTGAGGCAAAAGCATCATTAGGTAATTTGTGCAAGCCCAACACGTGCCCTCCTGCAGGCACGTATCTCAGCAAATCCTTTATCAAGCCCTTTTATTATAGTGGCCTTAGTTGGCTGTTCTAGTTTGGGGATCACTCACTAGGTCACTCTTCCTAGTGAGTGATTCTGTCCTTTCAGCTTCATGCAAGCTGAACACCTTCTCTGACATTTCTATGGAACTTATTTTTTAGGGAGAGGTAAGGATATAGTTATATTTTCCCATTCTAAACATTTTATACAGCAAATATTTATGCATTGGAATATGACGTCACATTTTTACAGTAACCCTCTATAACAGCTATGGGTTCTTATGCTTCTGAGGAAGAACTGCTTCATTACTTGGGTTTATTTATTGTTGTGTAACCTGAGTAAAGTCACTACAGGGCCACAGACTATTCCACAATGCTGTCTCTGTGCTTTAGCTCTTGCAAAGGCCTAAGAAGGCATGCTGGAATGATGTACATTTGTAATCCCTTCAGATTTTTATTTTCACCATGGTCCCAATTAATTCAAACTTTACTGATGCAAAGAGGTCCTGAGGGGTCAAGGGCCTGAACATCGGTATTGAGGGTACTGTGACATGCCCTAGGGTACCCTGCCTGTCCTCTAGCTACTCCAGAAGACACAGAGCTCCTGTAGAGTCGGTGCCATACCTGCTGGGTCTATGCAGATTCTTGGTTACCCTAGAGTATCTCAGGTGGCACTGGATGTCTGTGTTGAGGTGCTTAGGTCTCTTTGTATATCTTCATCTGTGTAACTTGTTCCATGTGCAGAAACTGGAAACTAGAGGTTGTCACTGAAAAGCGAGTGGTCTACCATGGTAATTTTTGGTGACCTTGTTACAACTCACTTGCCTCTGTCTTGGTTTTCTGTCTGTAAAATAAGGTTCAGAGTACTTGTTCTTCAAGATTGCTTGTCTCCTTCAACCTCAACGCTTGTCCCCTTTCTCTCTTTCCTAGGGAGAGGACACTGGGATGAGGACAGTGTCGTTAGCTCACCTGATCCTGGCTCTGCCAGTGAATCAGGCGACCGATACCGTACTGAACAGTATCAGAGCAGCCCACATGAGCCCAGCAAAATTGAAACTCTAATAAGAGCCACCCAGCAAATGATTAAAGAGGAAGAAAACAGACTACAGCTGCGGAAAACGACCCCTGATCCACTGGTCTCCATTAATGGCACAGGGAAGAAGCACGCTATCTGTTTCGCAAACTACCCTCAGCAGCAGTTGGCAGGGGATGTCTGCCGCGTCCCGACGGTTGCCAACACTCCTCCCTGCGAACACATCCAGCAACAAGATGGAAAGATTATGAGCCCACATGAAAATGACTATGACAACAGCCCCACAACACTGTCTAGGATAAGCAGCCCCAATTCTGACCGAATATCAAAATCTAGTTTGGTACTAGCTAAAGACTATCTGCATTCAGACATGTCCCCTCATCAAACTCCAGGGGACCATCCAGCAGCCTCTCCAAATTATTACAGCTCCCACAGGCAATACTTTGATAAGCATGCTTATACATTAACTGGATATGCCCTGGAGCATCTATATGACACTGAAACCATTAGAAACTATTCACTAGGCTGTAATGGATCACACTTTGATGTGACTTCTCACTTAAGGATGCAGCAAGATCCAGCACAAGGACACAAGGGAACATCTGTTATAATAACTAATGGAAGCTGACACTTTTTTTCTAAAAACTTTTGTGCTTTAAAAAATAACCTTTGAGATCTAATTGGAAAATACTATATGTTTTCATGCCCTTGTCATTACCAGCATTTGATATACCACAGTGCACTAGAAAGATAACCTAAGGTTTGGGAGGATAAGTTAGTTGACACACATTACTTTTAAAAAAATAAAAATGCACTGGCATGCAGGGTTAGAGTGAATGGAGCTAAACTCAAAGTTGGTGCCATGTAAGGTGAGGAGGGTGGAAGAGGTCTAGGCAGGGAGTGCTTGGGGCAGGCTAGCAGAGCAATTTATGCACATTGTGTAAGAGATGGTGGCTTGGAAATGCCGCCAAGGGTGGACCTTCTGAACTGCATGTGCCTCGCTGGTCCCAGCCAACAAAACTGCTATGCACTCTTTTTACACAGAAAGTTGGAATGTGTTCCTTCAAAATATGCATCAAAATGCGTATTTCCGGTGATCTGTTTATTCTCTAACGGCCAAGTGTGTTATGCTGTTTATCAAGCCCTTTTATTATAGTGGCCTTAGTTGGCTGTTCTAGTTTGGGGATCACTCACTAGGTCACTCTTCCTAGTGAGTGATTCTGTCCTTTCAGCTTCATGCAAGCTGAACACCTTCTCTGACATTTCTATGGAACTTATTTTTTAGGGAGAGGTAAGGATATAGTTATATTTTCCCATTCTAAACATTTTATACAGCAAATATTTATGCATTGGAATATGACGTCACATTTTTACAGTAACCCTCTATAACAGCTATGGGTTCTTATGCTTCTGAGGAAGAACTGCTTCATTACTTGGGTTTATTTATTGTTGTGTAACCTGAGTAAAGTCACTACAGGGCCACAGACTATTCCACAATGCTGTCTCTGTGCTTTAGCTCTTGCAAAGGCCTAAGAAGGCATGCTGGAATGATGTACATTTGTAATCCCTTCAGATTTTTATTTTCACCATGGTCCCAATTAATTCAAACTTTACTGATGCAAAGAGGTCCTGAGGGGTCAAGGGCCTGAACATTGGTATTGAGGGTACTGTGACATGCCCTAGGGTACCCTGCCTGTCCTCTAGCTACTCCAGAAGACACAGAGCTCCTGTAGAGTCGGTGCCATACCTGCTGGGTCTATGCAGATTCTTGGTTACCCTAGAGTATCTCAGGTGGCACTGGATGTCTGTGTTGAGGTGCTTAGGTCTCTTTGTATATCTTCATCTGTGTAACTTGTTCCATGTGCAGAAACTGGAAACTAGAGGTTGTCACTGAAAAGCGAGTGGTCTACCATGGTAATTTTTGGTGACCTTGTTACAACTCACTTGCCTCTGTCTTGGTTTTCTGTCTGTAAAATAAGGTTCAGAGTACTTGTTCTTCAAGATTGCTTGTCTCCTTCAACCTCAACGCTTGTCCCCTTTCTCTCTTTCCTAGGGAGAGGACACTGGGATGAGGACAGTGTCGTTAGCTCACCTGATCCTGGCTCTGCCAGTGAATCAGGCGACCGATACCGTACTGAACAGTATCAGAGCAGCCCACATGAGCCCAGCAAAATTGAAACTCTAATAAGAGCCACCCAGCAAATGATTAAAGAGGAAGAAAACAGACTACAGCTGCGGAAAACGACCCCTGATCCACTGGTCTCCATTAATGGCACAGGGAAGAAGCACGCTATCTGTTTCGCAAACTACCCTCAGCAGCAGTTGGCAGGGGATGTCTGCCGCGTCCCGACGGTTGCCAACACTCCTCCCTGCGAACACATCCAGCAGCAAGATGGAAAGATTATGAGCCCACATGAAAATGACTATGACAACAGCCCCACAACACTGTCTAGGATAAGCAGCCCCAATTCTGACCGAATATCAAAATCTAGTTTGGTACTAGCTAAAGACTATCTGCATTCAGACATGTCCCCTCATCAAACTCCAGGGGACCATCCAGCAGCCTCTCCAAATTATTACAGCTCCCACAGGCAATACTTTGATAAGCATGCTTATACATTAACTGGATATGCCCTGGAGCATCTATATGACACTGAAACCATTAGAAACTATTCACTAGGCTGTAATGGATCACACTTTGATGTGACTTCTCACTTAAGGATGCAGCAAGATCCAGCACAAGGACACAAGGGAACATCTGTTATAATAACTAATGGAAGCTGACACTTTTTTTCTAAAAACTTTTGTGCTTTAAAAAATAACCTTTGAGATCTAATTGGAAAATACTATATGTTTTCATGCCCTTGTCATTACCAGCATTTGATATACCACAGTGCACTAGAAAGATAACCTAAGGTTTGGGAGGATAAGTTAGTTGACACACATTACTTTTAAAAAAATAAAAATGCACTGGCATGCAGGGTTAGAGTGAATGGAGCTAAACTCAAAGTTGGTGCCATGTAAGGTGAGGAGGGTGGAAGAGGTCTAGGCAGGGAGTGCTTGGGGCAGGCTAGCAGAGCAATTTATGCACATTGTGTAAGAGATGGTGGCTTGGAAATGCCGCCAAGGGTGGACCTTCTGAACTGCATGTGCCTCGCTGGTCCCAGCCAACAAAACTGCTATGCACTCTTTTTACACAGAAAGTTGGAATGTGTTCCTTCAAAATACGCATCAAAATGCGTATTTCCGGTGATCTGTTTATTCTCTAACGGCCAAGTGTGTTATGCTGCTCCATGGTGTAAAGCATCCATGGCTAACCAATACAAAATCAAAAACGGGAGAAAGAAGAGAACTCCTCGAATTGTTATTTCCTCATGTACTTACGTGCATAGCTATTTACATATGCTTGATTTGAAAGGAGTCAAATGAGCAGTATCCTTATGATTAGTATGACCAAATATTTCCTTCTATTGTATTTAAAAGAAAGAGGGCCTTTCTCAGTGTGGTTTTGAGAAATACATAGGGCTTGGTTGTCTTGATGTAGAAACCGGAGATTGTCCTCGTATTTTTGAAAGGTTGCACAAGGTGGGTAGTGGACTGAAATGGAAGAAAATTGTCAGGAGAAACAGGGAGAATAGGCTGGAATTAGGAGTGGTCCGAGATAAACACATTTAACCCTATGGCTATGTACGCCATTTAGTAATAGTTATAAGGAAAAGTGGTTCTAAATGGCTGAATAAGAATTAATTTGAAACACAGAAGGAACTCAATAGAATCATAGATATTTTGCTGTAAAATACAAAGGCAATTGCATAAGTATAAAAATATGAGAGGCGAGAATAGACAAAATTGTATGGTGGTTTGTCCTATTTCTGATAAAGTTTTGGAGTAAATTAAGAAAGTATAGAAAATTGTAACTACTCTATCTGACATACAGTAAAGTAATAGGTATGACTTTGAAAAAGATATGCATTCTTTTTGTGCTTGCAGCAGAAAATTTAATGAATATCGGAACATATTAGGGATATCAAAATCAGTCATATGTACATAAAAAAATACTGAGGGAAATCAGGGTTCCAAGAAATTCAATTGTATTGAGAATGCTGATATTATCAGGGCCTGTCTTAGAGTTATAGAAGACATCAAAAGAGGCAGAGAAACTTTTTGCAATTTTTAATAATCTCATGAACAAAGAGACACTAATTGATTGGGAAAGAGAAAATAAAAAACATATGCTAAAAGAAGTAAAATAAGACATTTGTAGGCACAATTGCTAGACCTGTCCTCCTTTGTATGGCATTTATGTGAAGTTTCAAAGATGACTGCAATGGGAGCAGGACCACCGCTCTGTGTTATACCAACGTGGAGGTAAGGGGACTTGAGGTGGTTACTAAAATGAGATTAGCACTAAGTCTAGCTTCATTTGTAACATTAAGAAGCTCGACATATGGGACTGAGTCATCAATGGGACTAAATATAAACCAGCATGCTATGGGTGGGTTAAAAATATCTATTTTCAAATAAAACTAATCAGAAGCAAAAGCTAAATAATAACATTATAAACCACGTAAGTAGAGATGTACTTGAAAGCAGAGGAAATTACCTCTCTGAACTTGGAATTTTGTGTATAGTCTTGATCACTCCAAGGCAGATTGTGAATCTTGAATTGAGTAGTACCTTACTCCATAAGCAATCCTTGTTGACTGCAGTGTGATCACTCCTGGTGAAATGTACGTTGAACACAAGGAAGAGCAACACAGTCTGGTCTTTATTATCTAAAGCTCATAATAGAAAAGGTGGAGCAGAGCTCAGCAAAAGATAAAGAGACTGAAAGATCTAATAAAAACTTTAAATAAACTAGGTCTGTCATCTTTGTAAGGAAAAAGAGTAAGGGGGAATGTCACTGGTGTGCACCAATCTCTGCGCAGAGGAGAGATAAATAGTGGTCTAAAACTATTTGAACTAGCGGCAGAAATGAGAGACAGGGCATTGAATGTTAGCCAAGGCAAAATGAGAACAAAATGATTTGGCAAGAAGTTTATTTGACTAACTGCCAAATGAATAACACAGGTCATAAAGAAAAGCAGCCAGAGATTTTTGTTTGTTTGTTTGTTTGCTTTAAGATAAAAACAAGGCAACTAATTGAGGGGAAGAAAAACATTGACAACTGTTAACTCAGAGGAAGGAATGGACCAAAATGGACTTCTTTCAGCCCAACAATTGTATATATTCCTAAACCATAGGAATGAGAAAGTATTTTTGATAAATCTAGTTCTGGATACATATTTATTTCACTTATTCCTATGAATAATATGAATAAACTTGTATTTGGAGTCTCATTGTACAGTATTAAAATACAATTTGCAAAGCGAATTAGAGTAGAGGTACATGGTATCATATTATCCCTACTAGTACATATAAAAATAAGTCTAAGTGTCAATATTATTTTGTATTATGGAAGAGTTTCCTAAACTGTTCGGATGAATGGGATTTTGTCAGCACCCAAGTTTCTTGGGATCACCAAGCACTCTTGTTATCAAGCTTTTAATTAGAAGGCAATAGAGTTCTGCAGACCAGCTGCAGTTCCCTGGCTATGGTCTAATGGCCAAAAGGAGTCAGGAAACCACA